ATATATTTTTATATTTAAATTTATATTATTAATACTTATTAAAACAGTAAATTTACAAAATTGTAAATCAAGGAAATCAGAAAAAATGAATCGAGGAAATTGAAAACAAGAAAATCATGAAAAAGTCAGTTTTACAACATTCTTTAAAAATTAAAATTCTTAGCTTTAAAAAAGTGCGCACATCACACCTTTGTAGTTTTGGAATACTATCAATTTAACAATTAAATGCAAGTAGTGTCACCAACATTAATAATAATTTATATAGTGTGTTTTGTTAAATTGCTCAATCAACAAAATCTTTATTTGTTTTCAAATTACAACGAAAATACAATAAATTTCAAAATATTATTTAAAGCATCAGGGACAATCATGAAATTTTATCTGGAGAAGTTATGATATTTTAAGATGAGGAATTTGTGATAACCCTATAAAAAAACTGTGTCTGTTATTTTTAAGTTTCAATTAAATTAACGCTTATCTAGAGCTCAAGTCTTTATGATTCCAATGAATTTAGATAAAGAGTATAAGTGCAACCGTTCGCGCTTCCCTTCGGCGGTATCTATGTCTCTCATCAGATATTTTTTTCACATTTTGATTGCCATCATCATTTACGTCCAAGAGGCGTCTTCATTCGTTAATTGAATCAATGTTATCAGATGCGAGAGTTGCACATGGCGAGTATCTCCTTATTTCTCGCTTTACCCCGCGGCTTTGCACCGCGACCGTTCTCCGCGTTTGGAAGGCGGATATCGCGGTTATGTCGCTTATGCCCGCGGACGTTAAGATTAAGGCGGTGATCTCGCGGAGTACCGGGAGACCGTCTTTTATGGCGGCGGCTTGCTGTGAAACTGTACGCCGATTCTCGATGGCTTTGCGCCATCATTCTACAACCCCGTGGCGAACCTTAAGTTCTTTAGACTCCGTAAGAGTCCTAGCGAGCAATCCGCCTCCTCTGCAGACTCGGCTTTGTATACTTCTGACACTCTTAAGAATTGAGCCTCATGAAAGTTGCGACAAGTTCTCGTAAAAGAACACGCCATGATAATCTCACATTTGGATAATGATATAGCTGGATAAGAAATGTGCCAGGAAAGTGGCCTGAAGAAAGGAACGAGTAACATTTCTACATTAATAAATCAAAACGGATTTCATTGATTTTATAATAGATGCGGCCCTGCTTCTATGAATTGAACATTTAAAAATCCGCAGACATCTAATGGTATCCTTATGCGGTTACAACAATATAGTTAATTGAACAGAACAGAATATTCTCGGTGCTTAGCTTCGCAGCAAGTCTATTATTCGAATTACGACATGGCCGTCTCTCGGCGTGAGCGCGTCGAGTTCCGCATATTTTTCTGAACCTTATGTTGGGCACGATAACGTTATAATTTAGTTATTTAGTGCACTCGAAGGAATCCACATTGCTGCTCGTGTCGAAAAAGTTAAATGTTATATTCTAGGATTAATATCATAAATTTAGTATTGTATTTTTAGAGAACCAAACTCGGCTTGAAAGCAAGATACGTGAAATTGCTAAAGTTATCTTATTCCTAAAAGTTTAGTCTCTTAGTTATTGAATTTCTAATTTAATTACGAATAACTGATGAGATACAATTTACTGAGACTCTGATTTAGAGACTTACTTTACTTACTCGTTATTAGTTACTGTCATCGTAAAATCATGAATCATTATCGTAAAAACATCATTACAACATTTCTCCGATCATAATAAATAAGCTTGTCTTATTTAAAGCCTATTTAATGTAAGTTTCGAGAAAACAAAGGATGTTTGAACTTTTATTGTATACAAATTCGTCTTGTTTCGAAAAATCGTGGGAAAATCGCAGCACATCTTTGGCACATATTTCAAGACACTAAAAAGATGCATCAACGATTTACATCTCGATTGTACTTACGATATAATGAAAATAAGTAAATCAGTTTACGCGCGAATTCATTCTACATTCTCCACGATGAGATATACATTTCCTCTGAATCATGTTCATGTCAACCATTTCATTTTTTTTCCTTTATTTTTACAGTCGCAAGCAAAGAAGCGTCTGATCCCTTCAGCGAATGCGACACAATGAAATTGGATTAAAGTCGTGCCCTCGCTAGTTCTCGCCGGCTCGTTCTTTCTCCGTAGCGATGCGACTTGAGAGTAAGAGAGGAGTTTTAACGATCTACCGCCGTACAAATTGTCGAGATGCTATCATCTCTCAGCGGGGTGAGAGAACGGGGGTAAGAGAAGCAGATAGGATGATATGACGCGAGAGAGATGAGAAAGAGAGAGAGGCACGGAGAGAGGGCAGCGAAGGGGGCGAAAGTAGAAGATGCGAGGGAAGATTAGGGCGGCATCTCCCCACGGCGAGGTCGGTAACAGAAACTGCTGTTGGTGATGCTCTTGATGCCGCACCATAGTCGCTCTCGCTGCCGCGTTTCGCCGCACCACCACGTTCTCCTTAGCTATGCCCTCGTATCTGACGTGATTCGTACGTTGAGGATTCTCAACAGTAAATTACAAAATATGCTAAGCGGCCGATATAAATCAAAAGTAGGGCCCGCGCGAGTCCCCCGAGGGATGAGAGAGAGAGAGAGAGAGAGAGAGAGAGAGAGAGAGAAAGTCCTTTACCCGCCTGCGTCTCCCGGATTCCACGGTGCAAGGGGTAAGGGTCCTCCGCATCCTCCGTGAGTCAACCGAACCCAAAATATAAGGAGAGAGACCCCTATCACGAATCGAGAACAAGGGAGAATATCTTTCCTTTTCTCTCTTTCTCTCCTTCTTACGCAAGGCGTAGAACGCCGATGCGATGGTGCAGTTTGCAAACTGAGCAAATGGACCGGAAGACTCGAACGCGAGATATAAATAGGCTTGACTGGAGAGTAATATATCTACCCAACTAAACTCCACTAAATTGCTTCCAAGTAATAGAAGAGAGTAATGTAGAATCGGGAACGTTCGCGGTTCTCTATATAAGCAAAGAAAAGGAGAAAAAGTGAGAGTGAGAGAAAAAGAGAGAAAGGCTATTTATCGACGGCACGCTGTGTACTCATTTAAGTACGAGAGATTTATGGAATATCGATAAACTCTTGAAGAGAGAATTCTGATTGCTATTTCCTCAAACTTCGTAAATGTAATACTCTACATAAATGGGCCTCGCGTGAAAAATTCGGATCATTTTATTAAAGCTCTTTCTTGCGATATAAATAATTTTACAATTTTACATTTGTATTAACATTAGAAATGATAGTATTAATATAAAAGCTAATATTCGTGCGAACAAGAATTAACAAGAATTTCATTTATCATTTAATAATATATTCAAAGAGAAAACAAGTTAAATGTATTATCAGTATATCGGACTGATGCATAGCCCTTCTCTGCATTTATCTCGCAATTAAGATAACAGAAATATATGTACGTTTGGTAGAACGCGAATCACCTAATTAACGCGTCAAACGTCTCTCTGCGCTAGTCGATTTTACACGCGATTGTTCCGCGCAATCGGTCGCGGTAACGAATTATGCTCACCGCGAGCGCTCAATTACGTGGCCGAGGCTATTAATCGAGATACGGCGAAACACGAATAGCTAATAACGCGCTAAGAGTGTTCGCTGTAACATCGGGACGCGCCACGCGGGACTATCTGCGGATCTACGCTAATCGAGTCCTCCCGATACACCCGGTACGTATAGCCGTCACGCACACGCACGTCTTTATGGATGAGCCACTCGTATACGCGGTATACGAGCCGCAGCCACGTGCACGCGCGCTGCCAGCGTACTTCTAAATTAAGTGCATCAAGCGAAGAAGAGCCACGCAAGTGCATAAAATTACGTGCGTTACATGCAAGAGCGGCGCGAAAGGTACTTTTGCAGATTGCTCTACCAAGGCTATGCACTTTCGAAAACATTGAGAAAAATAATTATCCTCTCAGTTCCTCTTTTATATAAATTATTATAACATGGACGAAAGAGAGAGAGAGAGAGAGAGAGAGAGAGAGAGAGAGAGAGAGAAATAATTGTATAAAAAAGTTACATAAATACACAGGTAAAACGCAAGAGATAATTTAATTTTAAAAAATAAATTGTTATTATAGCATTATTTTAAGATTAAGTATTGCAAAGATTTATCTTATCTTATAATGTATAAGTCTTTCAATCTTATTCAGACTTCATTTGTTAGAAGTGTTTATATCTATAGCTTCAGATTATTATTATATGATCTAAAAGTAAAAATCAATTTCAATTTAAAAGTTATTTTTAAGGAAATTGTTTCTGTCCCAGACTCTGCAAAAGTTCCAGTTAATCTTAACGGAAAGTCTGGAGAACGCGAATATTCCTGAATTATTTAAATGCGCGAGAAGCGTATAAAATCTTCCTGCATTCGCATGAGCGTGATTATATTCCGTGGATCGAGCCGTGGAAAATCGTGTTTCTTTCCTTCGCCTCGCGTATGATTACGAAGCTTACACGTGCGGATGAGAATCTGAAATAACGAGATATCCGCGAAACTTCAAAGTAGCAAGAGAATGTTGCATAAAGCGTGCATAATAGCGGCCGTTGTCTTTAGTTGATTTTTATCGGAGATAAAATTCACATGACAAAATTTTACTTTAGAATTAAACAGTCGGTATTATGAAAAATGAAAAGATATTTTTGTTTCAAGAAGTAAATGAGAATTTGAAGATACTGATGATCAACTCTTCAAAACTTTTAGAATAAATCTCTCTCATTAAAGATTGAAAATTGAGCCACTCTTTTTCAAGGCTGGTTCAATTTTTACTCTTTAGAGTGAGATTCCACTTCAAAAGATTTAGAGAGTATACATAACTAAAAATGTATGATTCCGAAAAGTTGTGTGAAAAACATCTCAAAATCTTCTCTGTATCGCTTAATAGTATATTATACGTTTCCGCATTTCGAGTCATACTAAATTTTATGATAACAAAATCAACAACACTTACGTCGACCAGAGTTCATGGGTGGGCGGTAGTTTGACATCCGCCGTTTTCTCGGGCAATTTGTAGTATTCATAGACATAGGACGCGGCAGGATCATCATTGTGGTTAGCTACCGCCGACTGATGCTGCTGCTGAAGGTTTAGCATGGCCGCGGTCGCTACGGAGAGCGGATGCTCACAGTAGGCGCGCCAATCACCCTCCATACCCTGAACCTGCACCTGCACCGCGGCAACCCTCTTATGGACTTCCGGATCGGCGCCTTCGGCGCCGCTTTGCAGGGTTTGCGCCGCCGCCTCCTCCGCTCCCAATTCCTCCTCTTCTTCCGGTTCACGTTGCCCAGATACGTAACTTTGTTGCTGCTGCTGTTGCTGCTGCTGTGCGTCGTCGCTGACGGTACCGTTGGTATCCTCCTCGCTGCGACTGCGTCGCCTGTAATTAAGTAAAAATTCGTTTAATTACTGAAACCACAAGTATTCGACTGCGGACAATTATCTCACGGAGCATTATCTCATAATAATTGCATAGATATTTAATTACTATGATGTTTAAGTTGTACGCATTATCACTTACAAGTCTATCAAAATTACTATGTTCGGTATACGACGTAAAATATAATTAGCGTGAGTTAATAGAAGGTGTAATAATTAACTGTCTCTCCTCAGTAAAGATATAAGGACTCATGCTTTCAATGTCGCTTGAACAACATGTTCTATAAACCCATCTCAAGAAAAGGAAGTATATATCTACAGCCGACAATTTTCATCGAGCAGTCAATTCTCTCTTTTGCTGTTGGCGACGACTATAAGTGACACTGCAACGTGTCGCATAAAAAAAGAATAGAAAAAGATTTCCCCCGAAGGCTGTGGTAATGAATGTGCCGCAGGATAACAGTTAGAAATAACCGGCTCCGGTTGAATGTAATAAATTACAACGGACCCATCGAATTTATCAATTAGCGATAATCGCGGTGCATAAGCCGCACTGATGATTCTTCAATTTAGCAATGACCACCAACGGTGGAAGTGCATCGCGCATCGGCGGATGGTTATGCCGATAATTTATTGCCGTCGCGTACATCGTGATATCTAATCGCACCATGCATGCGCGAGAGAAAAGGAGAGAGAACGCGTACGCGCTTTCGACTCTGTGCTTAGCCACCTGGATATTTGTCATCAGTCGTTACTTTCCGCCGAAGTAATACCTTCCGGCTGCTTGCGATCATTGACGATCAATGACGACAAGATTTACAAAAGTGCGACGTACTTGAGCGTGCGTTTCAATATAAAAATTCAAGCGTCATATGGCAAATCAGGCTGATTTCACTTACTTTTTACGAATATTGAAATGGCAAAAGAAAGAATTCTTAAATTTCTATTCCTACACTGAAGAAAAAGATTGGCTGAAGTATTTTGATATGGCAAAGTATTTTTAATTCATTGCAAATAGGCTAACGCAACCAAAAATTGGTTGCTGCAATCAACAGTTGGCTGTTGCAGCCAATTAAAAAATGCTATGCCATATTTTACCATCTAATTTGCTACAGCAGCCAATCTTTTCTTTCAGTGTACTTTATGGTTCTAACATGGCGCGTACGAATATAGTTTTTTAAATCCAAGCTACAGAATTTTATTCATTGCATGGTTTTTACTTCCAAATTTACATTTTGACGCTTGCCTTTTTTTGCAATACGCGCATCACCTGTCTGCGCACGTCAGGGATAAACTTAATCGCGGATCGAGAAAGAAATCGCGCATTGCCACCGGGTCGGAGCAGATGACGAGGAGACGGGCGACGAAGGACGAGGGGGAGGGGAGGGTTACATCGTAAATACGTATACATGTACGAAGATTAATTATTATAAACCCCTGCCTGTTGCCTGCAGTCATCAATTTATACTCTCCTCTCTCGTGCATCCCAATTCCAATCCCGATCCCGATCCCGTGAGTCGCGCTATAGAATAAAGGCTCATCCTCTCTAATTTATGCATGTCGAATCAATCTCCCTCCTTCCACCCTTTCTCTCTTTCTTCCTCTTTCTCATCCTCGTTTTACCTACGTGTTCCTTCTACGTTCCTCTTCGCACACCTGGACAACCGTTGTCCCTGAGAGAGAAAGACCAGCCACCCCGATAATGAGGACCTGAGTTATCCTGTGCAAATATTTTCCTCAGCGGCTGTTTGTATAGGCACGAACGGACCAAAGATCTGATCATTCATTGCACCACCGACGTATGTGCATATATACATGGGTTTTTGCGCGGAAAAATCTCAGGCGCGTGAATGTGGTAGTCGATTCCATAGCCGCAATTCTGCGTCTGGCATACCTGCATCGTCTAGACAATGAATTTATGCGCGATCATCTGGACGAAAACTTCATTCCCGGCGAAATGCAAACATAGATTTCACGGTGATGAAATACCGCGCCGTGAGCGCGTTGCTATATTCTTCTTGTTTGTGCAATCTTCATCTTGTTTATTATCATCCCGTGCACGTTTCACTATGAATTTTCTCTTTGCTATTAATAGTATTTATTGATCACGTGCAGCATGAAACTATTTTTCGAATATTTTTCTTTGCGACTTGTTAAATTTTTATGATTCAACGTTAGCAATAAATTTTTACGTTTACGAGCTTATAGGTGAATTAATTATAATCATCGAGATTCCAATAAATTTTTGTTTCCTTTAGAGATTGAAATTATTATAATTTCGCTAAGTCTAATTTTTAATTGTAAATAAAAAAATTTAAATTAATTATCACTAAAATTACATATAGCGAGTTCTTGTCATAATTTTATACTTCGTAGTAATGTCATGTCCAAGTTTATCACGATTATTTATTTCTGAAATTTGAAATAAATCTTGCAACTTTCTTTCTATCATATCCTTATTCGAGGGATTTCTCTCTAAACTGCCTGCTAAATGAAGCTTGTAATAATAATAACTTATAATTGATAATCGACGTGTATACGTAATGCCGCAAATAATCGAATAAAATGTTCGATGTAATATCGTTCTCTCATTAAAGCATTTCGAGCAAAACTGACATAATAATACTTAGAATACATAATTTCATCTTGATGGAGCCTTGAGGATTCGCAAGAAGAAACTTCCGCTATATGAATTATTTTTTTTTCAATTTGAAAATCAAAATCCGAGGAATAAAACTATGTAACTTAAAATTATATAATATGAAAAACATTTGTTATAAATCATTTTTCACAATGTAGTTGAAGAAAATGTCTGATGCTCATTTCTACCAACATAGATTAACTTTAATCTCGGTTCAATTTACTCTTTGTCTTTTTCTAATCTTTAGAACTAGAAAAAGATGAAGAATAGTCAATAAAAGTTGAACCGAGATTAAAGTTAATCTGCATTGATGGAAATGGGCATAAGTCCACTGAATCGGCGAATACCGATTAGAGCTAAAAGTGGCACCGAATCGAAAGAAGCTCGCGTTTGACGGTCGAATTTCGAAATAATACGAGCATGGATCGTGTCGCATTGCGTGCTGCTTGTAACCGATGTACTTCTTAGGTAGATAATACGAGTAAAAGGTTAAAAAAAGAAACGGAGGAACCTTGTAAAGGCGGAAAAGAGAGAGATGGGACAAAGAAGAAAAAAAGAATGAGGGATAGATAGAACGTACATCGTTCGTCTCGTACGGGGGATACACTCTAAGGACTGCTTCGCGTATATGCTAGGCTGGTGGATACATATGTAAATTGCGAGTACCCCTATTACTGAGACTTCACCTGCGCATCCGGTTTTCGCTTGTGCTTTGATTTCGTCCCCGTACGTCACGTCCTCCCTCCCGTCCATCTTTCAGTTCGTACGCATGCTTGTTCGTGCGGCTCATACTACTTTTCTATCTAACGTTAAATCACAGCGGATTTCATTAAAACCGCGGGATGAGTAATTGCCGGGGTGTATCAGGCGCGGTTAGCGCGGTGGAGAACACGTCTGTGTTTAGATGGCGATATATCTTAGAAATTAAGGTTTGTGTCTCGATGGATATCGCGCTGTCGCATCTTAAGCATTGCGTAATTTTGACGGCGCCGATGATTTCGAGAATGATCTCGGATAATATTTTTATCTTCGATGTAATAAACTCGTGTAATTATGTCGCAGCTGCCGCAAAAGACTATAATTTGTTGCAGCCTATTAAATATCAACTTTTCTAAATGTTTGAAAATAAAACAAATTTCAAAAGTTAATTTGAAATTAATCGAAAAATGGAATTTTTGTTTATTAGATATTAAAGAAGTAATTGTAATTAAAATTCCTTGAGTTAAATAACATTTTGTTACAATATTTTTAACTTTCATGTTTGTCAAAATATAAATCAATTCGTTTTTAGAGGTAACTTTAAAATAACGGCTATATTAACGTATATATTTAGTAAATAAATTAGAGGTAAAAAAAATATATTTTCTTGAAATATATTTCTTGAGTTAGTTTCTTGTTTAACTCCATCATTGCAATTAAATTAATGACATATTTAATAGAAGCAGTGGCGACCTATAGAAATGATTAAAAAAATAAAATCTAAATTACAATTTGACTAATTTGAATGTAATTCGATTATAAATTTAATAGTGGCGATAAGTAGAAAAAAATTAATTTCCGATTCGTCGAAGTTGCTAAAATATGTGATAGCCCTAAGGCATTCTGCATATTCAGAGATTGACGATAATTTGTATTCCGTGGATAAATGGAGGGCAAGAGGACGATGCGAGGAATTTCTTTTACAACGGTTCGTTTGCATTATGACAGATAAAATTTTATTGCGGCAATGAGGCATACGAGCGAAAGGTATCTTCGGAGGAAATCACATCGATTTCTTCCCATCGATTAATATAACGGACAGAAAGGTTTATCAGCTGATATCTTTCGAATATAATCCTGAGAATGCCTGCTCATGTGTCTTACTGTTATACCAACTATCTATCATAATTCTTGACACTTTGTGGTCACTATATGACTGATATTGATACATCCAAAGATTTTTATGTCTTCTAAACACACAAGCTTATATATTATGCGGATAACATTGAGCTCGTATTGATCTTTTGCTGCAATCTCGAAATCAGGGATTGACATTTCTCTCAACGAAATTCTCGAAACCAAATCTTATTAGTATTCCTTGTTCAGTCGCGATGTTATTTAATTAAAATGTTTTTCTTTCGCAAAGTTTCAAACCATATATTATGAACTTCAGTAATAAAAATCCTGTTCATTATACATAAATCAAGATTTTTTTGAAATATTTTATAAAAATAGAATTACTTCTTCTTCAGAACATTATAATGTAA